CACTGAGTGTTGTATCTATGATGTATGATAATTGTATTTTATGATTATGATTATCACTTGTTGCTTGTATATACAGTAAGTGCACTGAGAGCTTATGCACCGGTGACAAATTCCTTGTGTGTCTCCAATCACATATAGCCAATAACTCCACTGTTATACATTTCAATTTCTGACACAAGCATGTAAATGTGTGTGATAACATTGTTGCATGCATTTCATCATATGTTTCCCTGCCATCCATATCTCTTCAGAGACAGCTGCTTCTTCTGCTCATGAACATTTCATTCTCCAAGTCCCCCAAAAATCCTGCTGTTTTGATAATTTCCTTCTTATTTCTTCACGTATCTTTCCTTTTGGTTGTTTCTAAGCAAAGAAATAAGTACACTAAGATTACTCTAGAAAGGACTATGTTGTGATAGCCTTTTCATCTTGTACTCTAACATATGTCTTTTAGAAAATATGTTGCAAGGATCTATAAAGCAGAATGGTTGTGTTTTCTTAATTGTTGACATCTGGCATGACATGTTTCTGCTAAATCTTATAGAATTGAATTAAGTTCTGTCTGGAGGCTCCACACTGGGAAATTCAGCTGCCTACCCCAATTTAAGTCCAAGCACTTGCCTGGAGGCACTGTCGTTTGAAGATGGAGAGCCACATTGCCTTGCTAGAACAGCTGATAGGCAGACATCAGTGGTTCTCTCCAGAGGCCCCATGCCATCTCAGTTCACTTAACAATTGTGAAGGTCATTTAATGAACCAAAGCAAACAACAAACCCAATGTTTGTTCACTTAATGATCCAGTTGATTTACTTAACAAGCACAGTAAAAATGTCATAAAATGAGTGATCCATTTTATAACAGTCTTGACCTATGACCCTAATGGGCAGGCTCCATTAGGGTTGTATCTCAGGGACTACCTGTATTTGGTTTGTATCTGTACCATATAGGAAACATATTCTTTCTGTATAAAATTAATAGTTATCTTCCACAGTAACTTTGTTTTTCAGATCCTTCCATGGCATTCAACATTTGATCTTGTTAAACCAAAGATAATTCCAGAATTCCCAGCATTCCCAGTCATCAATCTTTCTCTCTGACTTCAGACTTCTAATATTTTCCTTTTTTCCATAGACATACTGGCATGACATAGTCTTGTAGTATCAGCATTTCTCTTTGGTCACCACAAAGCAATTTATTTAGAAAATGCTTCTTAGTCTAATTTTATCATTCAGTTCAATTTTAATTTAATATTTAACTTAATTCATTCAATTTAGCTACTAGCTGATTTGAAACTGCTCACAATATAACAACAATAAAATAAACATAAAAAATAAAAAAGCAAGAAAAATAAGTGGAAGAAAAAATAAAGAACAAGAATATAAATATAAGTCCAGCCAATAACACACAAAATACTGTACACCCAGAAGGAGCTGCATACTCTCCACCTCTAGCCCAGTGCACCACTGGAAAAAGATAGTAACAAATCCTTTTTCTATGTTCAGTTTTGGATCACAAATCCCATCACTGTCAAAACTGGTTCCATCAATATCAATCCATCCATCAAGGGGCATGCATAAGTGCACCATCGTGCCTCCTCTCCCTGTCCTATTGTCCCCATTTAATCGTACCTATTTCCTGTATTCCTACTCATGTTTATACTTATACCTATTATTTTGTAACCGATTGACAAATCAAATAAATAAATAAATAAAATATCACATGAGAAGGCCTGATTCTTAGTTTATCTAGGAAATGTCAAACAATCTTATAAACTCACAAATTAATAAGCAAGCATCAAGAGATAGGGGAAATCCTCAGTGCTTTCCCGGCCTTAAATGGACAATTATTGCTATGCCTCAACCTTACATTTTCCAATCCATATACATACAGTACTTAACAAAAAGACTATAGTTTTGATCTTTTCTGTGGTATCTTTGTCAGAACCTTACTCTTGGATACTAGAGAGATCAAGAACTGAGCATAGATATTTTGCAGCCAATAGTTTGCTCTATCACTCTATTACGCTCTCACTTATTTTAATAAAGTTTTTTGAGTTTAAAAGTAAATGTTTTAATTTTTTGTAGAGAATTACAACTCAGATGTTTTCCAAATTAAAATCAGCAGGGCCTATAATTAGGATAACAGGACTTGGGTTTTTTTTTCCGTAAGTTTTAAACATACTAAAAAGTGAGAGATTCCTTAGGAATGTTTCCTTGACCTCAGATCTTTAAATACAGACTGACTGTTATGAAAGTTCCTGGAATAGAAAGGGTCAGAGACTGTTACTGCTAATTACTAATTCCATGTTTATCCTGTTTGTACACAATGATTATCTTAATTTGTTCTTTATCCTGTGTGATCTAGTGATAGGAAACATTATAATTCCTTTAACATAGTATAGTTAGTAGATTTACTGACACTTTTTTCTCTTGCTCAAAATAATAGTTTTTTTCCCCCAATTTTCTTTGGTCAATATACTGTATTATCCAAATTGTATTAAATAGATTCCTTAATTGTTAAAGGAGTGAGTCTGCAATGCACAAATGCAATTATTTCAGTATTTGTTAAAAAAAAAATCAGATGAGAACTCCAGAATAAATTGTGAATTAATTTCTCAATTGTCAAGAACACATTTTTACAGAAAGTTTTCTTTCTCTTCTCTTGGAATTTAAAATATTTAGATAGCACTTATCCGATAGCTTTAAAAAAAAAAAAATCTGCAATCTGACCTACCTTGAAAGCCAACATTTGGAGGAAACCTAGCTTTAGAAATGTGTCTTGTGAAGGGCCGATGTATACAATCATTTGGGTCTTAATCCCTGTTAGGCACAGCAGTGTTTTTGTTGGATCAAGTCAAGTCAAATAGGCTTTCCTTATAAATTTGAGCTCCAATTATGATTCCTGGCATTATTAAGGTTGGAAGAAAACCCAATTGAAGAGGTTTTTTTAAATGTGGCATTTATCTATTTCCAGTAAAAATACATTCATTCTTATTTCAGTCTTTTGAAGGATTAGGTATAATAAAAATTAGGCTACACATCCCTCCATTTTTTCTATTTTTAACACTTATGAGCAAGCTACTGAAGGAAAATGTTGATAAAATACTGCACTGAACTTTTTTATCTTATAAAAAAATAAAAGCAGCTAATCAATGGGAAAAACTATGCCTTCATTGAAACGCATTGCTTTATTTTAAAGAATGATATTCTTTACTTCTCCAAGGGGTCCAAAAACATTCTCTTAAGCCATTTTTAACATGCCCTAAAATCAAAAACTTTATTCAAGCATGTAATATCAATGCTACACAGAGGTGGTATTCAGCAAGTTTTGACCAGTTCTGGAGAACCGGGAGTGGAAATTTTGAGTAGTTTGGAGAACTGGCAAATACCACCTCTGACTGGAGATTTTACAGTATCCTTCCCCTGCCACACCCACCAAGCCATGCCCACAGAACCGATAGTAAAAAAAATTGAATCCGATCATTGATGCTACAGTACTTGTAACTTGACTCATTTTATATATCAGTAGAAGTCATAGGAAGTTCTGATTTAGTAGCAAAAATATGTACAAATTCAGAAAACCTAAGACGGCCAATATTTTTCATACAAGTTTCCTATGTTTGTTTTCTCAATTTCTTTTATATCTAGAGATTCAGTTTTGCTAATTTAAAAACAATTTGCATTTTTTCATAGATACCCTGCTGTTTCAAGAAGTTCACAAAATTTTCAAAAGTCTGGATTTCAGGTTACGGGCAAGAAGTTCTGCAGCAAATTCTGTTTTTCTAGGGATTGTTTGAGAGAACCAGACTTTTATGGAATTGCTAAGAATTCTCCTGCTAGACAATATGTCAGTTCACTCTGGATGGTAGTAGCCTATTATAACCATAAACCTCATTTACTGGAAAATTCTTGGAAAAAAGCCTGCTGGAGAGATGTCTACGGAGATTCTCAATAATCCAGGTCATTGTTGCCCCAAATGTTTCTCCAAAAGGCAATTGGACTTTCTTGGTTTTTTTCCTTTAAAAATGTTCGCTCCTCATCCAAATGAGAAGTGAATCATTAAAAAAAAAACACAAGAAAGTCCAGTTACCTTTTGGAAAAGCACTTTTGGGACTTTGCTGGAGAGGTTTAAATTAAATTAATTTACCCAGTTTAAGATTGTCACTTTGGGCTATTTACTGTCTCTCGAATCAATGTACCAGAAGATTGTTGGGGTGATAGGAAATGTTGAGAGGGGAGTGCTATGAATGACATCTTGAATTCTTGGAGAAGATGGGTTTTAAAATTAATAAAAAGAGTCATTGGAAGCTTGGTCAGATGCTGTAGTTATTCTGCCTGTTCTGAGTGAAGATATTGATACTGTGAAAATACTGTTATCCATTTGAAGATACAAAGGGAGACTTTGAGTACTCCATAATTTGGTAATCCTAGAGAATTAATTCTATCACCCTTGATGTCTCACTGAACTGGCTGGATTAGGCTTGCAAAACATTCAGATTGCATTAGAGCAAAATAAATGGACTTGATTTATACAGGTCACAAAATTCAGCTTTTGATAAGCTTAGAAATCTAAATTTGCTTTCCTTAGCGCATGTTTGCATTATTGACTATAACCTTAATGAATGATAATTCTATTACATGCATTGCTACTTATACGGTTTAATCTCTGATGTAATGTGTTTTTATTTTTATTTACAGGGGTGTACTTTAGCTTTGAAATCTGCTTCCAGGTAAATGGCTAGTAGCAATAGCAATCCAAAGAGGCCGTGTTAAAAAAAAGTACTGTATCTTGTTTTGCTTTAAATTTTATCCAGCAGCTTTTAAATCAGTCCACTTATCATATCTGTTACATTTTCTTCCTCCCCATCTCCTTCAAAGCGTTGCGTGCTGCTGTTGTACTTGGAAATTTGAGCTCTCAGCCCGGCGGGACGCGCGCTGAGAGAAAAATGGGCGGGAACGCCGCTGTTACTTCTGTTCGTTTCGCAACCTGGAAACGCTCAAGGGCCAGCCGCGGGTCCAGCGCGCCGATCCAAGAACGGCAACTGCGTCTTCCGAAATACGCCGAAGCGCAGCTATTTCGTAAGCGTTGGATTTGGATGAAGAAAGCGGCAAAAGAAAGCGAGGAGGAGCCGAAGCCGGGGTTAAGCTCATGTGACCGCTGGCGGCACAGGGCTGGAGCTGCTGAGAAGTAGCCGTAACTGCTGCCGCTTTTGCCCGTTTTTGGAACTGGGTAACAAGCGAGAGGCCGAAGGATTCGCTCCTCTCAAGGATGCGAAGCTGCCTCGCTCCAAACAGATGATGGCGATACGAGAGCTGAAAGTCTGTCTGCTTGGAGTGAGTAGCGACCAAAAGAAAGAAAAATACGAGGGGGAGGGGGGAATCTGGGAAGGGGACGCTGAATTCTGGGTAGCAAGTGAAGATTTTAAGCAAACAGGCGTCCCGCACAAACGACCGACAGAGAGCGCGAGCCGAGCGGAGGAAGGACGGGCGCTGGAAAGCAGCTTGACAAGCCTGCGTTTTACAGAACAGTTTTCTTTGTCTTCCTTTTGGCCCATTCTAGTTCGGATGCTGACTGGCTTTCCGCTCACTTTACTTTTTCGATTTGCTTGCTGGGAATTTTGGCAGCTCAGGCAGTTAGACTAAATAAGGATTAAGCAAGGCAAACTTTCCTCTTCCTTGTCCCAGATTTGTTCTGGTTACGTTCTACTTTGTCTGTGTTTCTTTTACTTGATGGCAAACGTTTACAGCTATTCTGGGGTTTTCATTCCCGTAGAGAGATTATGGAACCTCATTGAATCTTTAAAGATGCAGTGCACACGCAATGTTGAATGCTGCTTTATAGCAAATTAAATTAAAAAAAAAAAAAGGAAATTGTTGTTCATGTGGCAAGCTGATCATGTGGAGTAATTTTTCTTTTAACTCTTTTAACCAATTATTAAGAGTAAGGTAACTGCACTCCACACTTGCATTATGATCAGATTCACAGATAGGTGTAATTTTTGTAGAGATGTTTTCTTGTTTGGAAATATCCATTGAGGAGTATTCTTTTCAACCGTTAAAATATAGAAATCTCGTTCTCCTTTCCTCTGCTGTCTTCCGCAAGTTAAGTGTGTTGTGTTTTATCCTAAATATGGCGTTTTTGTGGTTTGTATTTAGCATATAACATTTTGAGGTCACGGAAGAGATTGCTACACACTTGCCTTTCCTCACTGATTTTGGCTGTAAGTGGACAGAAATTGCTTCAGTGCAAAAAGCAGTTCACCATGAGATGCAACTCAGCAAAAACTTTAATTCTGTGGCTAATCATATCCTCTTTTTAGAATAATTCTCTGCAGTGTTATGGTGAATCCCTCCCAGCTGATCATTTACAGGCCCACATAGACCAGTGTCAGGGAATTCTTGCTTTGTTTTCCACCTCTGTTTTGTACAGTCATGGTGATTTAATAGTTTACACTATATTTCGCTCCCATTACTAAGAAAAAACAGTACAGCATTAAAACAGCATTCCATTTTCAGAAGTTACAGCAACTGCCATAAAAATACTTCTCCAGAGTACTCTTATATTTACACAGCCAGATGTTTTGTTCAGACTGAAGTTAACTTAGTTTCTGCTTTGTGGATTTTCCTATTTCTTCTTCCTTCCCACCTAAGGCAGGAAAATAAATACCAATTGTTTTCTCTTTGATGGGCTTGTTTTTGAAATACAAAGAAATTCATGGCAGACTCCCCAGCAGATCAATATAAAATTACTGTTGAAGACATAGTAGGGACGAACGAAATCGGTTGCCTGCTAGAGCACACACTAGCCTATTAATGTGTAGGCATTTTTATTTATGTATAAACTATATTGAGGCACCAGTTACATGTATGTATCAGGATTACCACTCATTTTTTTGTATAGGCATAGATTCATAGACTTGGAATTGGAATTTTGACTATGGAGATCTATTCCCCTCTCTGGGTAGGAGTCAAAATGAAAACATCACAGCAGTTGACTTCCTTGCATCTTTGTCTACATTTAGGGAAGAAGATCCTTGCTATTTGGAGTCACTATTGCTCTGCATTTAATAGCAATAGCAATAGCACTTAGACTTATAAACAGCTTTACTGTGCTTAACAGACCCCCCCTAAGCCGTTTACAGAGTCAGCATATTGCCCCCAACAATCTGTGTCCTCATTTTACCAACCTCGGAAGGATGGAAGGCTGAGTCAACCTTGAGCTAGTGATATTCGAACTGCCAAACTCGTGGCAGCTGGCAGTCAGAAGTAGTCTGCAGTACTGCATTCTAACCACTGCACCACCACTGCATATATATAACTGTCTATGAAAAATTCTTTTATATGAATAAGTATTACTATATGCCAGGCTGTGAGAATCAGGTAGAGGAATTATTTTGGTATGAGATAGGCAGATAAAATATGGGTGCTTTAAAAGGAAGCATTTTAATTGACTTGGTACTTGGGACTTTTATTATTTCCAAGTTTGTATTTTTTATATTTGTGTGTGTCTTGCTTCTTGGGTTTGTTACCTATATGTAGCTTAATAGGTGCATGACTTTTGATCTTTCTTCATGGAACTAGTTTTCAGTCCTTGATGCTAGTTTTTAATCCTTCATGCTTAATTTATAATCAACTTCTAATATATTTTTCAAAGTAATTTTCCCCCTGATCTATACCCAGTATTTTGATTCCTGTAACATTTGTTTCTGTTAAATTTCATTGTGTTTTTCTGCCAATTTTATCTAATCTGTCAACATTGTTTTCATTTTATTTGTTTATTATTTGCTATCTTATGCACTTTGTGTCAACTACAAATTTAATAAACACATTCCCCACATCTTCATTCAAGTAATTCATTTAAAAGTTAAAGAAATTAGTGTTTAGGATTTGACTTCATAGCACTCCATTCAATGCCTTCTTCCAATCTGATAAGGAACTATTGATGAGTGTTTTTTCAGTTCAGTTTTTAAGTCAAATATGTAGCATTAAATTTTTAACTATTCACCCTGAATTTGTCAGATCTTTTTCTGGAATCAAGGTATATTACAAGTAAAGAATTTCCACAATCTGTTAAGGAAGTTTCTTGATCAAAGAAAATGAGACAAGGTTTGCCTGTCAAAAATAGTTTTACAATAGATAAATCAGTGTTGAGTTCTGTAATCACTTTATTGTCCTCAAGATGCTTATAGATAATATGCTTTATAATCTGGAAGCTTTCTAGGTATTGATGTTAATCTGACTGTTTATAGTTTTTCTTTTACTAGATTTTGAGTATAATGGCATTGTACACAACTGATACAACAACATGTGACAATAGTTGTAGAGAGACAACAACACTTTCCCCTCTTTAATCAACACAAGTGTTTTTTCTAATATATTGAAATATGCATTTGCTTGGCATGGTGATCTGCCTCATTTCTCCAGACTTGTGATGAATTTTCATTCCACATAACTTTATTTTTTTATATTGATTATTTAAACCACATGCCTAACAGTATGTAGAGGAAAACAGTCCCCCATAATTCCCCATACATTCTATTTAAATACTAAGATGTGTGTGTATGTGTAAAATATTATCTTTTATAAAAATACTAATGGAATGCTGAACATTCCAACATTTTTCGCTGTAAAAGTTGTATTTCATAAAAAAAACCAAGGATTGTTTGTTCAGTAGTTTTATTTAGAAACACAGCCTATTTAGATCTTCCTTAAGCAAAATGAAATTTATTAAATCAATATATACTTCAGTTTTACTGAACGTATTACATATTAATCTACATAGAATTGTGACTTTAGTATTTTAACTACTAATAGGAAAGTTAGATGTGCAGGTATTTTTTTAACACTGAGAAACGACAGGATGATAAGCTTATACAACTTTTGCTTGGAGTAGCAACTACTGCGTACACATTTTTAAAAATTTAAATAAAATTTAGTCTAGGAAAACACACTTTAATCATGGTATATTGATATTACATTTCATGAAGGCAGTCATTCATCTTTATAAACTAGACCAGCGGTCGCCAACCGGTGGGCCGCGGCCCACTGGTGGGCCATGAGAAAATTTTGGTGGGCTGCAGAGAAATCTCACCCCCAGAGAACCCCCACAAAGCAATTAATCCAGGCTGTGGAGAAACACAAGGCTGCGCCGCCCACATGGCCCGCGGGAACCCTCCCCGCCCACTCCTTACCTGGCAAACTTGCTTGCTAAATTGCTATTTTTCCTTTTTCTGACCATCAGCTGTTCTGCTGTGCCAGGAGATTTAGATTAGCTAGGAAGCAGGAAATGATTGGATTTCTTGCTTTCTAGCTAGTCTTTAGATCTTCGGCTCAGCACAGCCAAACCTCCCTTAAGACTGAAGGTTTGCTTTCAAGCAAATTTAGTGCAGACTCACGGCAAGCAAATTTGAGGGACTGAGCTAGCCGATGGCAGATAGATAGATCACTGAATGATTCTGTGAGCAACTCAATCTGCCTGCTTTGCCTGATTTTGGGTAAAAGTTGCTCTTTTTTAAAAATTAAAAATAAAATATTTACATGTATGGTGTGTTGTGAATTAATTTTGTGAGTTTGCTTGCTAGCAAATTTTATGAGTTTGCTTGCAAGCAAATTGTATGTGACAGACTGAGCTAGCCAATGGCAGATAGATAGATCTCTGAATGAATCTGTGATTCTGTGAGCAACTCAGTCTGCCTGCTTTGCCTGATTTTGGGTAAAAGTTGCTCTTTTTTAATAAAAAAATCAATATTTATATAAATATTTATAATATTTACATACAAGCCATGCCCAGCCAGTCACATGATGACCAAGCCACACCCAAAAATTAGGCCACACCCACAGAACCGGTTAGTGGTCCCTGGGATCTAAAATTATGAGTTTGGTGGTCCCTGAGGTCCAAAAGGTTGGCAACCCCTGAACTAGACCATGTTTTTAGGAACAACTGTTAGAACTGAGTTGTTGAGGGCTCCTAATAATAAAGCAATAAAGTACAGTATATATTTTTGCAGCTAATGCAATATAAATGTTTTTACTGGCCAACTATTTTTACTGCAGCTGTGATTATGAGAATTTATGTGGCCACTCGTTCACTTTCAGTGACTTCTGGGTGGCTTACAAAAAATAAAAAACCAATACACAAATAGGAAAAACAATAACCCTTCCCCCCCACCTCTTTTGGTCATAAGTTGACCATTTTTACCAGAATCATAAAGCACAACACAATCATTAAACCGATCCCATGGTTCTTAAGTGAATCCAGCATATCCAATGGACACCACAACTGATCATAAATGCAAGCCAATTGCCTGGTGCCCAAAATGCAATCAGATGATCCACGGGGGTATGCAGCACTCATGACTTCAAAAACAGGTCATGAGTAGCTTTTTTAAAAATCTGACAAAACTTTGAAGGGTTAAGTGAGGATTTCCTATACATCCAAGAAATCAGAAGGGTGTCAATGGGAAGCCATCCATTAATTGTTTATTGCTTGAACAATAATACAAGTACCTTAGTTTAAAAAAAAGGTTTACTGGCTTGATGTACATGGTTCCAAAGAAAAACATGGAAAACTTTTGAACGTCAAACCATTTAATAAGTTTATCAGACATTAGAAGTTCAAGTGGAAATAGATTGGTTTGCAGAATATTTATTGGAGAATCTTTGCTCAAATAATGGCAGAGACGACTAGAACATTTTGTGCAGAAAATTTTCAGAGTTTGGCAGTTGTATGATACTTTACTGCTTTATTGCCTATTGCTCAATATTGTTTCAAATATTATAATAAAAATATTTTTCTCTACATAAAGCTTTTGTTTCTTTGAATGTACTGTTCAAACTGCATAAAATAGTTTAAATATACTTTTCCTTGCATCAAATAATATAATCCAAATACTTTTGCAGACTGTAGATTCTGGGATGAATATACTAATAGAAATCATTAGGAAATTAATGCATAGTAGGCAATAAGAAAATATTTCAATTTAAAATATGCTGACAATCTATCCTATAAAGCATAGTCAGGGAACTATGACCCCTTTTTATGACTTGTAGATTTCAACCAGGGGTGGGATGCTACCGATTCTGCCCGGCTCTATAGAACCGGTAGCTCTGAAGAGCAGCAGACACTGAACCGGTTCTGTGTTTGCTGCTGTTTAGCCCACCCGCCCGCCTGGGTTCTTACCTGTCTTTTATTTCCTGCTTTTTCAACCTCAGCTGCTTTGCGCGGCACAGCTGAGGTTGAAAAAGCAGGAAAAAAGAGGCTTTTCAAATGCTGCGAACCCGCGTGCAGCGCTTTTCAGCTGTCCGGGCGGCACAGCTTAAGGTTTTTTACGTGTGTGTGCAGCAAAACATAGTCATCGAACTGGTAGTAACACTGGTTGAATCTCACCCCTGACTTCAGCTCCCAAAATTGGAATTCTGGGAATTGAAGTTCCCAAGTCATAAAGAGGCCATAGTTGCCCACATCTGCAAAAACTAATTTTAAGTCATTTGTCCTCTTCCCTTTATCCCCAAGGATAACTTTCAGTAAGGATTTTCTACATTGTTTAAGAAAGATCATGAATAGCACTCATTTAACTTTTATTTCCAATAACTGTTCTAGAATGATCCTTGAATGCAACAAAAATATAGTTAGTTGCAGTTATTGACAGCTGTGTTCAGACATTTTCTCAAAGGAGCATTTGGAAATGTGGTTAAAAGCATGGAAAAAATTGTAGAATTGTTGATATCCAATCAGCTGATAATGATTAAATGCTATTTTGGAATGGCAGTAAGAGGAAATGTAATTCCTCATTTATTTATTTATTGGCTCTTCTTTACCATTTTACATAGATAACGGGTTTCCTTAAAACTTTACATATGTATCTCCATGCATGCCACATATTTGAGTAGCTGAAGGAACCAAGATAGTATACAATATGCCATAGAGTGAGTATTTCACTTTAGAAATGAGCATAAAGCCATGGTTCAAGATAACATGGCTTTAATTTTAAGGAATTGAATAGATTATTAGCAATGGAATAAAATAAATTTTTGCCTATTCCACACAGACCTTTTAAATTTTATCCAGCCTGTCTTCCAAACTTTTTAAAGATTTTCCTAGAGTCAGACAAGTACATCTACAGTAGTTCCAATTAATACATGAATAGAGCCTGCAGGATGCATTGGAATGGACCCCAAAAATCTTAAAATAAATTATGTACAGATCATTTCAACAACTTATAAAGATATCAATAGAATACATTGAATTTGGTAATATTTTGCCAAAATTATTGTTTAGAATCTGTTCAATTAATTGTCTGTATGCACATGTATGTACCTTTGAATCAATCTTGATTCCTGCCAACAACCTGAACTAGCCCCTGCAGTTTTCTTGGAAATATTGTTTGAAAGCGGTTTGCCATTACTTACTTTACTTTATTGTCATTGCACCTCGTACAGTGAAATCAAACACCATCTTCAGTGCACATCATGACCATGACCATGAAAATAAACACAAACACACATCCTTCACCCTTCACACATTGAACCGGAAATCCCCGACACCACACCAGCACTGCACTATACAGCAGAATTCAAAAGAGCTACTGCCCTGGATAGAAGCTGTTTTTCAGCTTATTTGTCCTTGTTTTTATTATTCTGTACCGTCTGCCAGATGGTAATAGTTCAAAAAAAGGGTTCCCAGGATGAGATGGATCTTTGGGAATGTTTTGAACTTTCTTAAGGCAGCGGGAGCTATAAAGCTCTTTCAAAGAGGGGAGAGGGCAACCAATGATCTTCTGGGCAATGACATTAACCCTCTGGAGTGCTTTCCTATCTGCCACTGTGCAATTGGCAAACCATACAGAGGTGCAGTATGTTAAAATGCTCTCTATGAAAATTTTATGAAAATTTCAGCTATTGCTTCGGGAGTTCCCCTATTATTGAAGAAGCTAATGATGCAGCATTTCCATATTCTAATATCCTTCAGCCATTTACTTACAAAGGACAGTACAGCCTCTTAAGTAAATATACCTAAGCCAGTGGCCCCCAACCTTTTGGACACCAGGAACTGCTTCCATAGGAGAGATTTTTCTGTGAACTGGAGAAGATTTCGTGTGCTGTATGATCCCGTAGAGGGGTTTTGCTTGTTTATGCAGCCCGGTTTCTGGCATGCTGCAGCCCAGTGGATTGGATCCATGGAGGTTTCTTCATTTAAAACAGATGAGCATTCAGGACAATCTTGGACTGATTCTTCCTTTCTTAAATTTTAGGATACTGGAGTTGGCAAATCAAGTATAGTTTGTCGATTTGTTCAAGATCATTTTGACCACAATATTAGCGTTACTGTTGGGTAAGTACCATGCACAGTTAAGCTAAATAAACACTGATGAATTCCTTCTTAATTTAAAGTAGGGAAAGTTCATTATTCAAGATAGCTGTATATGTATTACAGATTCCATCCCTATTTTAACATGGAATGTTATTGAGTGAACATTTTACCACCTTCTGCTATTAATGCCAACTGCAAAGTATTTACATTTCTCTGCAATTTTTTGTTGAGCGCCTATAACTTCCACAACACTATCCAGACCAAATAATGTAGGCCTATTATGGGCTAGGGATTATATATTTTTAAGGGTAAAGATGAGAGAAATATTCTTCTATTCCCATTCCCACTCTTAAAATTCTGAAAAGTGGACAGAAGGGTTGATCTTGCCTATTACAATTACACTTATTTGTTAGATGTTTTTATCCTGACTTTATTTTTTATAAATATAAAAATATTATTTTAAAAAAGTGGTTATACCTAATATTCCTTCATTGTCCTATTTTCCCCACAACAACAACCTTGTAAGGTGAGTTGGCTGAACGTCACCCAGATGCCTTTCATGCCTAAGGTAGGATTAGAACTCAGAGTTTCTAATCTGGTGTTTTAACCACTACATCAATTTGGCTCTTTGTGCCATAAGATGACTTCTTATGGCTCTCCAGAAGGTTTGGATGTACAGTAGTTATGATTTTTTTCTATAAATCATTGACTACTCTGATTTAAACCCATGTTTTTGAAAAATGCTTTTCATTTAAAATTTATTTATTTATACTTTACATTTTTAATGCTGACCGGTTCAACAGTGAATCTAGGTAACTCAGTTTCACTGTCCCTAAAACAAACAGTGGGAAGGGAACAAATATACCCTGTATCAAATGGATGTACCAGAGCTTAGAGTAAATGCTGAGTTCACAGAAATTTGTTTTTAGTATTGCAGAAGCAAAAACAATGAAAGAGAGGCAGTCTCTCAAATAATCAGGCCCTATGCCATGAAGAACTGTACAGATGATAATCAGCACCTTGGATTGCATCCAGAAATTCATTGATAATCAGTGCCGCTCACATTGCACAGGTGTTACATCAGTGTTTTGAGGCAGGCCCATGACAGTTTGTGTCATTGAATTCTGGACCAGTTGTAGCTTCTAAGTGGGCTTCCATGCACAAGTGACTAAGGCATTAATGATTGTGAGAAAGAAATTACCAGTGAAGGGAAATGGGCACTTGGCACATTAGGTCAATATGTGCAAAGGACTTCCTGGCCACAGTCTCGTCTATTCTTTGAGCAGGATCTGTAAGTTCAGAAGGACTCCCAAATCACAAACCACTTTTGTATGGAAAGTACAACTTTACTCAAAACTAAAGATAGAAACATCTGGTACTGGAAAAATCATGAAGCTATAGTTAACTTATACTTCTCAGGGTTGAGTTAAGCCAGTTCCTTCACATCCAGACTTTAGCAGCCTCCAGATTCTGTGACAAGACTCAACAGCAGCACTTGGTCAACCAGGAGTTGAAATATACAGCTGAGTACCAGTATCATCAACCTACTAATGATGTATGCATAGTTAGTTACCTCTTCAATGTTAAACAGTAAGGATAAGAATGTTGAATCTTAGATATCCACAACTAGATGCTTTGGGCTTGATCTCTGCTCCAATTACTGATAATTGGAAGCATCCAAGGGAAAGTAATTGTTCCAGAAATATATCATGATCAATGGTACTTGAAAATTAAAGAGAACCAGAATGGTCATTCACCCCCATCCTAGCTCCATCATATCAATGATCATACTGCCTGTGCCCTGACTGAAATAGATAATCATTATTAGTATTATTTTTTTGAAGCTTCAGCCTGACTACTTTCTCAGCAATTTTTCCCCCAAAGGGGAGGTTCGATGAAAATTATCCAGAATTACTTGTTTGGCAATAGTTCCTATGGTGAGGGATGTGGAAGAATTTAGTCCCAGTACTGAAAAGAAGGAATAATAAAGAAATGGGTTGCTCAGCTCTGGAAATGTAGAAAGCGTGAGAAACAGATTCAGAACAGTCTCATCTTGACTTTGTTTAAAAAAGGCATAGTGAAGGTTTTGGACATGCTTTCAGGATTCTGTTAATACATCCTACTCCTACAACAAAATAGCATTCCTGGAATCTCTCCGTGTCTGTTCCTTGACCTTGCATTTCCTGATACATCACTCTTCTTTGTCATACAACCATACCAGATGGATACTAAGGCCTTGAAACAGATCCTTCTGAAAATTCCCAAGCTTCTGAAATACCATCAGGGTCTCACATTCCAGCTATGTCTGGGGGAATGAAAGAAGTTCAGGCTTCTTAGATTACTAATTTTTGTTTTCTTTCAGACATAAAACATTCATAAACTCTTATATTTTTCTAATTCCTTCCAGTCTTAAAATCAACATTCAGCTACTGAATAGTGAATTATTGATTTGGGTTTTAGTAACTCATTTATTATTTTGTATAATTAATTGAGAAAGTGGGAAATAATTATTCAGATAATGATAATAATTTATGCAGGAAATCTTAAGAAACATTACCATGCAGGGAAAAAAAGATTCTTTTTTTTTTTGTAATGAAATATAACTCAGAATAAAGTTTCTTGTTTTACTTAATCTCTCATTATCTATTTGAATGCTATTGAAAATCAGATTATAATATTTAGGGCTGATTAGATGAAGTTTCCTAGGTATGTTTCTGCTTCACTTAAAAGAACAATTTCATTTTGCAATTCATCACATTTTAACTAATTAGGATAGTGTAGTTTAAGTGGCTACTATGTCATTCATCATCATTAATTCTTCTCGAATTTTACAAATGTGAATTCTTTCTAGAAAAGAAATAACATTTTCCTATTTAATTCCATATACATTGCATATGATATGCATCATTATATTTAGCTTTTATATTGCCTGAAATATCTGCAAAATGTTTGCTATTTCTCAAAACATTAAGAAGAAATGCTTTGTTTTTTCCCTTGTGAAGATTACATTTCTAAAAATGTTGTTTTCTTAATTGGCAAATGCATGCACGGTAATTTAATGTAAACTCTTCTTATGTGCAACTCTTCTTGTAAATTTTAGAGCTGCTTTTATGACTAAAACAGTCCCCTGTGGGAATGAACTTCATAAATTTCTGATCTGGGACACAGCAGGTCAGGAGAGGGTGAGTATGAGTCTTTTATCTAAAGACAGTATTTTTGATAAAGTGGGGGAACCAGCATCTGTAACATAGATACTGAAGGTAAGAAGGCATGGTATGTTTATATTGTTTTAAACCTCACAGTAATCTAAATTCTGTTTCAACAGAAACACTTGCATAATTAAACAAACAGAACACTAAATCATCAACAGATTGACATTTTCAGAATCACAATAATATGCAGCCAAGTTCTAGTTCCAGGCTTCTGGAAAGGCAAACATTTTGAACCATTACAATCTTCTAATTTCTGCTTTCTCAAGATCTTCTAGGCTTCATCTAATGGCCCCAATCTCTGAACCATGTCTTTCTCCCTGTTTCTGACATAATATTCTTATTTCCTACAATTGGCCTCATAGGAAAGGAGGTGAAGTAGTTACATCTGTAATACAAACTTGGATTTCCTTCCATGCCGGTATCTTTAAAATCCGATGTACTTTCATCTATTTCAAACTGGTTCAGACTCTTCTGCTGTCTGTTGATGGGCTGAAGTGTGGGATCTGATGATTGGCCTCTTGCAATCAGCCAGCAATCTCATTGTGATGTGAAGGGGCAGCTTGCATTGCATCTCTTGCTACATTATGCTATTAATTCAACCTTTAATTCCTTTCCATTTGCCCTGTTGACAAAACTGCTCAGCTTATCAGTTGGCTTGACCATGCTGTCTGAAAGGTTTGAAAGTTAGTTTAAGAGAGAGATTATGTAACTAATTTAACAATGCTAATTTGTTTTTATGTGTTTGTTTAAATTGTTACAATATGATCAAGTTGGTACATTGCTCTGTACTTAATTAGTATCATGGTTGAGATATGAACCATGAACTAATATTGCTAATATAGTTTTATTTGACAATGGCAAGTAAAGTTCTTAGTTCACTTAATGACATCTTGTTTGCTAAGACTTCTATTACAGTTTCTTGAGCACAATATGCTATTATTGATTTCTACCAGTAGCTTATTGTTGCTCCATCTAATTATCATACTTTGCCAAAAATATGAGATTTCCTGATCTTGGGGGGGGGGGGGGAGAAAATATTTATCTTTTCTTCCATATAGCAAACTATATGAAAGAGAAAGCAAACAAAAAAAATTATAGAGGCCTTAGATTTTTTTTAAAAAAAGTTATATTAAAGAATGTCAACTTAGTAGAATACATTGTTTAAAAGTATATTATTTTCTGACTTCCGGTTTGAAGGGCTTCGGCGACAGACAGGAATCCGTGATCATGTGCGGTTTCTGCCTGGGCTCGCTGCTGGAGCACCCCGAGCCGGCTGGCTTCGGGGCTAAGCCACCCTGTAGAGGTGGTGAAGAAGGGGGAGACTGCCAGCAGGGTCGAGGAGAGCCGCATCTCTCCTCCTCAGCTGGTCAAACGCCCTTTCCCGAAGGCGGTAGGAGCGGTGGTCAGAAATGGCCACCTCAAAAAAGTACTCAGCCGGAAAAGAACATGCAGGAGGAAGATAAGAAGTGAAAGTTTTGGCTGACCGGGCTAAGTTGAAAAAGCAATAACTAAGGTACCCTGGAATTTATATTCTACAAGAAATAACATCGCTCCCAAAGAAGAGTCGGAAGCAGCGAAAGAAAGTGAAAAGGGAAAGGTTTGACTTTTTTTTCCTTCTCTCTCCTTCCTTATATTGACAATTAAGAATAAGAAATTGGAAAAATCCGCTTTGGCATCAGTAGGCAATTAAGCTGAAAATATCTAAATGCCAAAGGGACAATAAAGATTTCTGGACATTAAAAACTTTTTCTTCTATAAGCAGGAAGGGAGAGAAAAAGAATAAGGGCAGGATCTGGAAGAGGGAGGAGACTGCCTGGACTTTAAAAGAATCTAAAGTAAAATTTCAATAAGACTTCTAAAAGATACATTTTTACTGAAACTTTGCAACTAAATAGTAACCCCAGGAAGAGAAAGTGGGGAAAAAAAGAAAGAGCAAAAAGAAACAGTTTGTGTGTATTTGGATTACTTGGTGACTTTTGGATTTTTGGCTATTATATTTGAATGACTAAAATCAATGGGTGGTTGTTTAAAAATTTCTACAATGGCATTACTCTTGGATGAATTGAAAATGGAACTTAAAAAGTACAAAGAAGATGCACAAGAAGGGAAGAGTTCCTTTGGCTTCATTTTTCAATTCTTAGAAATGGAGATTTGGAACTATGAGAAACAACAAGAAAAGACTGCAAAACAAGAAGACTGGGACAAAGAAGAAGCCATCTTTAATGAACAAGTAACCCTATGTGGGGAAGAAAAAGGAAAGGGGGGGAAAGAGGATGGAGAATTTAAGACTTAAAAAAACAACCAAAGAAAAGAAAAATAATTCAAAAAATAAGTATAATACTGGAAAGCAACAGAAAAGGGGAATACAGAAGAGGGAAGTAGAGGTAGAGAGACAAAGGGGTAAAAAGGGGAGGGAGAAGAAGAGAGGGAAGAAGGAAAGGAAAAGAAGTTACAAAGGTCGGGAGCAAGATATAAAGAAACAGGACCTATTTAGAGACAATGGGTGAAAATTTAACTGAAAGGGGGATTCAGTAAAGGTACATGAGATTGTGTTGTTATATTTGAAATAGAAATAACTTCAGAAAATTGGAAACAACATATGATTAGAATGAGGGATAGAATGGTTAGTGTAACTTAGTGAAATGTTTGTGAATAAAGTAAATGAAATAAAATAAATGAGAAAATTGAATTAGGAAGGAATGGGAACACTTTAATTAGTTAATGTTTTATAAAATATAAGTGGGGAATTGATTATGGAAAGTTTATAATTGTTCCCATTGAAGTATGATATTTAATTGAAAAGTAACGTGAAAAATCTTAAGACTTTAATGAATATTAATATTAATGATAGAATTGAATTGGAATGGAATGTTTTAACTATATACATTTATACTTTTTTCTTTTTTTTCTTTAAGAATACTGTGTGTAGTTTAAGAATGTACCAAACAGAATCCGAATGCAAGCTATGTATTATATTGAGTGTTATAATTTTAGGGGAAAGATATAAAGGCGTCATACTCCAATCAGTAACTACAGGAGAAATTTTGTTTAATGAGAAAAAATAATAGACAATTGAAACAGGACAGACAAAAAATATAAATATAATGATTTGAATTGAGATGAAATAAATACAATAAAATTGAGGAAATTAAAAGAGGGGAGAAGCTATATAGAAAACGTAAAATTGTAATAAGATATGGAATAGAATATAAAAATGAGCATGAACCTGAAATTGTGTCTGCACGAAGAAATGTACCCGGGATTATGCTGCTTTCAAAAAAGATGTTTTAATTGTGTTTCTTTTCTTTTTGTGAAAACTCAAATAAAATTTACAAAAAAAAAGTATATTATTTTCTGAAAGTCATACAAAGAGTGTTTTTTTTTTTTTGTTTCAATTGATTACATTCAAAATGCCTTGCTTCCATTGTGAAAAATAAACATTCTTTTATAAATTGCTATGTGTGTGTAAGAATGGCAGAATCTGGAGGCGGTGTTAAAAGAAGGATCAGTCTAGAATTTCTACCTAACCACAGCTGAACTAAGTCGAAACTCTCTTGAATTCCATTGACCTTTATCTAACTCCAAGCAGGTGCTAACTCTTAGTTGAGAAGATTTCTGTGCATAAACATGAGTTCCAATAAATCAATTTAATTGGACCTTCACCTGTAGACCTGATCTTTCATTCCAGTATGTATCTCAGTGGGGTGTGTGTGTAAGAGAGAGGGGGGGGGGGGGGGAGAGAGAGAGAGAGAAAAAGGGGGGGGGAATGCGAGCATGACTGGCCAGATGTTTCTGATGTTTTCTTGGATCCTTGATTATTTAGCAAGCTCTATGGCTTGAAAAATAATCTGTGCTTCCTTGAAATGTAGTTCTACTCTGGCAAGTCTAACAAGAATTACACTCTCCCTAGAACAGCTACTCTAAAAATGATGATGGGTCTTAAATTGGGGCCAGGAGATATTGATTGTAACCAGGAACAGGTAATCTTAAAACTACTAGGTTGAGGGATACACATTCAGGTGCATCTATTCTTTATCTCCTTTATTCCTTTTCTGTCTTTTTATTTGAATACACATCATCCATCTTGAAAAGATTTGTTTGAAGGAAGGGAAAGTAAGAAGAGTTCTCTTTTTTTCTCAGGGTTAATCACAGGCCAAGATAGCTGTGTGCATATGTAGAACTAAAAATGTGATGCTACTACTTTAGGAGGTATATTGACTACCAATATTATCATTTTTAAAAAGCTGAATGGGCAGAGTTTAAATAGTTTCAGCTCTGGGCTGGATCTGTCTATCCTGCAAAAACTGGAAGAGAAACTTGTTAAGATCCCATCACTTGAGTGCCACCTATAGGAATCTACAGGTTGAGTCTTCTTCTCAATGGTAGATCCCTTCTGTGGAACACTTTGTCCCTGATGTTCTGTTAACCTCCTTATGCAGTTTCAGAAGAGTCTTGGAAATCACAGTTCAGGAGGATGACTTATCCCATTGCATAGGAGAAAGCATTCTAGGGTGCTATGATTTTATTTTAATGCTTTTTATTACTTGATGTAAACCACAGCTATTAGTTAAGTAAATATAGGAAAGAAGAGAGAGAGAGAGATTAATTTAATGCTATCGTATTTTTTTGACTTACATAATACAATATATAACTTTTTGATTCTAGTTTTTGTTCCATGTTTCACAGTTTCATTCACTGGCACCTATGTACTATCGTGGATCAGCGGCAGCTATTATAGTTTACGACATAACTAACCAGGTGAGCTTACTGTTATCTCATTATTGACATTTATTAAAAAATCCAACTCAATTGTGTTTTTCTGTCAGCATCCTATTATGCTGGCTTAGAGAACAATCCAGCATAAAAGTTAGTAATTTATATTTTCATAAGATTTTTAGACATTATTAAATCAAGATAATTAAAACATAACATTATTTTCTTTTAATCTTTTAAACTGGGTTGGCAATCTTTTGAGATTGAGGGGTTTTAAAGATGACACTAAGTGTACTTTGGGACACTATTTTTTTTACATTATTTGTGCTGAATTTCAGCAGACAAGGGCTGTAGACAGATGTTTTTTGCCCATCACTCATATAAATACAGTGTGAACTTTGCTGTGTCGCTTCATAATCAAATTCATTTCAGGCAGGTTTAGGGGCCAGCTTCTCAATTTGGAATTTCACTTTGCGAATTTTGATCTTTGTGAGTTTCTCTGTTACTGAAAATAAACCCATAATTACAAAAAAAAAAATTGCTTGGTGGAATTATATGAAAGGTGCAACACAATTCTTTCTTTGTTTTTCATGCCTTGAGTAGTAAACAGTAAGGGTTTCTGTCTAGCTGCAGTCTATTTCATATTTGCCCAAAATGTCAATATGTAATTGAGCCTTTTTTTTTTTTGAGCTTCCCATGTCCAAGCTTCTTACATGTTCCCATTGCAATTTTGTCTTTTACACCTTTGAATCTCATTTTTCTGTATTTAAACATCAGCAATTTGATGTCTGGCAGTGTTTAATTTAACTGTGTCGTATACATACTCAAGTTTTCTACAGAAGCATGTTGAGTGCCACCTGACCTGAGGGGCCTATTATCCATCACAACATTGACAGTCTCTTTATTCCTGTGGTTTTCTTGGTAAAGTATGAGTGGTTGTCTTCTCCCAGATGGTATGAACTGATGCCTTTGCCATTGTCATGGACATGATCATATGCCTGCATCACCTTCCTATATCAGTACTGCCCACTGCTTACCTTAATAGAAAGTACCGTATTTGCCGGCGTATAAGACGACTTTTTTGCCCTGAAAAACATGCCTCCAAGTGGGGGGGTCGTCTTATACGCCGGGAGGACTCCGACTCCCACTTCGAGCTTGAGTTGCAGCCGGGAGGGAGGCTGGGGGGGGGGAGCGGTGTGTGTGTGTGTGTGTGTGTGGCGGGTGTCACTCGCCACGCGCTGCGCAACCTTTCCCCCTCTTCCTTCCTTAGCGGTGTGGGGAGGAGAGGATTCGAAGATCCTCACGTGCGGCGTACTTTTCTTTTTCTTTTTTTCTTTTTGCACGCAGGTTTTGCATGCGGGCGGCTGTAGGTTAAGGATGGGGGAGCCCCCGGGTGGGTTATCAGGTTTTACGGTGCTTCCAACATGTGCGAACGGTGGGAGAGCGGAGAAGAGAGCGAGCGAGCGCCCCGCTGTGTGAAATCCTGCCGTCAAAGCAACACTGGGGGAGGCAGGGTATAAATTTACCAGGTTAATGTAGCAATGGTGATTAATGCCCAGAACATTGTTTGCGGGTATTGTGGTGTGTGTGTGTGTGTGTGGTGGTGGTGAGGAGAGGTTGTCCTTTGAATGCGGAAAAGTAGGTGTGACCTTGTGTAGGAAAATAAAGAGATCCTTTTTAGCGTGTTTGGCTTCTTTGCCTCCCCTCGTTCGTTTTGACGTGGAGATAATGGCCTTCGGGCGGGAGGGGAAGAAAACGGTAGCTGGATCATTTCAAATTTCACTTACTCTCCTGCCTCACTTCAATATGTCTGAGCGACTCTAGATACTGGAAGACTTTTTGAATGAAAGTGTTACCTCCATATTTTTTTTTAAAGAGGGCCACTTGGGGAAAAAAAAAGATTCTAAGGAATTCCTTGTTTCTTGATTAAAGAGAAGGCATTGAATATACTGTTCCTTGGCAGCCTTTTCAGTGTCCGGGTTTTTGGTGTGTGTGTGTGTGTGTGAGAGAGAGAGAGAGAGAGAGAGAGAGATCAGCTGTATTGAGAAGAGAACGTTTCCTGTGTTCTCATTTTATTTACAACATATTTTACGCTTAATGGTAAGCAATGAAAAATATTTTTAAAACTCATTTCTAAACTCCATAGCTATTTGCATATTCTTGGTTCAAAATTGGATTAGCTCATTTCAAAATTGTCCAAAGCAGAAAAGTGCGTCAAAAAAAAAAAAAAGTGCAAAAGTGGAAGGTGTGTGGAAGAGGGGGTAGTCTTATACGGCGAGTATATAACAAACTCTATATTTTGAGTGGAAATGTTGGGGGGTCGTCTTATACGCCCAGTCGTCTTATACGCCGGCAAATACGGTAAGTAGTACCTGCTTACCTTAGTAGAACAACTTGGGTGATGTTTGTGCTTTGGATGCCTCTGCTAGAAGTAAGCTTTGGGTACATACTTCTGGCCTGCTTTGTTAACTGTCCAAAGAACACATACCAAACACACAACATGACCATGCTAAGGTAGCACAGCATAAGTGCAGTACATACATTTTGCACTGGGTTGATGTAGAAATGAGAAAATAATTCCAACACTTAATTTTGTTAGAAAACTTCTGCGTCTCCTTCAAGGCACTTTTGCTACTCATTTAAGAATAAGACAAGAAGGATTCAGTTAGAATAAATTAACAAAATCTTATCCTTCATATTACTGGAAAAGAAAGAAATACAAAAATACACTGAGGCGGTATGATAACTGACATAGCTAGTTTGGTGCAATATATGAAATGTTTAAATTGTATTATTTTAGGAAAAACAGATTAATTTTGCAGTACTTATCCATTCTCTGTGTATGAATTTATAACATATTTAACTTCATTGCAGTCATTAAACAGCACAGTAATTTAACTGTATAAGCCATGCTTTTTGCATATTTCAAGCTTCATAAAAGAGTTGCTCTCTGTCTGCAGTGAAATATAGCAAATATTACAACCCACATTGTCAGTTTTATGACATAAATGCTGGGCTTTGATATTTATTGATATATTTTCAGGCTCTGAAACGGAATGCATTAAAGATTTGCTATTGGATGTAATTGGTTATATTGGTTACCATGGCCATTTTTGCTTTGTATTGCAAACTTAAAAGGACCAGACAATCCACGTTTTTGAATGTATACTGTTAGAATAAGTCTTACTGTAGTTATAAAATTTAATGTCACAATGTTTATTATAAATACTAATCTATATTTGTAATAATGTTTTTTGTATTTTTCTGTTATTCATTCTGCACTGTATCTTAAACTTGATTATTATTCTTTAATAAAGTTTGTTATAGTCAGGTATAGCAACTAAAATTTTGATATACAGCAATACAAATTGAACTGCCTACTTTAAAATATGATAAGTTAGCCTTATTGTATTTGAGGTCTCTTTCTCATTCTGCTGAGTAGATGAAGAATGTGTGTATGTGTGTGTGTGTATGTGTGTGTGTATATATAAATGTGTGTGTATGTATATGTGTGTGTGTATGTATTGTGTGCATGTATGTGTATGTGTATTCCTACTAATCATTAGCATTGCTTTTTATTTATTTCCCATACTTTGCTTCCTTTTGCAAAATACTGAAAAATTGAATATGTATTTTTGATTTCCAGAACATTTTTTTTAAAACAAATTTTATTAATTTTTAAAGACAAACAAAACATCATTAAACATTGAAGACATTAAACCTCTTTCCATTATAAATTTTTACAAGGCAGATAAAACATTATTTTATACAATATAGTTCTAATATATCCCATTTCCACTTAAATATCTTTTAGCAGATTTCTCATTGTTTCTCTTTGCTCTTATTCAATTACATTTCTTCTATATTTATCCATTTTATAATCATCATATTCATATTTCCCTCTGTCTTGTTTAAAATTATTTTCCTCTAGCTTTCCTCCAAGGTTTTATTAAATCTCAAACAAACATAAACACACAAAACACAAAAACATAAAACTTCTTTTTTAAAAAGTAGCTCTTTATATGGACTTCAATTAAATTTATGCTCATCATATATACCATTACCTATCTTATTTACCATTGTATATCTTCATTATAACTTCTCCCCGCTTTCCACTCTTCTTAATTCTATTTTATTTATTTCATCTTAATTTAAATCATTATACTTGTATCTTTTGTCCATTCTTTTCCACTTATCCATTTATCTCATTCCCTATAGTCGAAAAAAAAAAGATTTCTCCTGAAATCACTAATCGAAGTATGATGCCTTTCCATCGCTCCCCTAAATTAACATTTAAGGTAACACCTAGTTCCCTATCTGATTATGCTTAGTACATTCTACCTACTAATTTTTAAGAGAGAAAGAAAATAGTAAATCTATAAAGTAATTAAATATATAATTGAACATTAAATCTCATAACATTCCAATTATCTATTTCAAAAACAAATGCTACAATAGTAAGTTTATACTAACATCCACACAATAGTCAATTAAACTCTATACTTAAACTAAATATTTTAAACATTCCTTTTAATATTTTATTAAATCTTAAAATCTATCATTATTAAACCTTTAATGTTTTAATCTTTACTTAAGTCTTATAAAATTCTAATTTTCTATTTCTAATACAAATACTACAATACTATCTTATGTACCTTGCAGAATCCTTTTGAAAAAAAGTTATACATTACCCTTTATCCCTAAAAAAAAAAATTCTTTTTCCCATCTTGTTTCATACCTTTGTGGCTTTCCCCCCCACCTTCTTCCTTCCTATCTTATCCCATCTGGTCTTTTTACCCCCCCCACTCCTAACCTCCTCCTTTTTAGCTTCCCCTCTCTGTTGTATTTCTCTTTTCTTTTGCTTTCTAACATTGTATTGATTTTGCATCTTATTTTTCTCTTTCTTGGATGTTTTTTTAAGTCTTATGTCCTTTTTCCTTCCTCTCTTTCTCCTTCCTTTCTTAATCAACTTTGTAGATTCGTTAAAGATGGCTTCTTCTTCTTCTTCTTCTTCTTCTTCTTCTTCTTCTTCTTCTTCTTCCTCCTCCTCCTCCTCCTCCTCCTCCTCCTCCTCCTCCTCCTCCTCCTCCTCCTCCTCCTCCTCCTCCATCAATTGTTGTGTTTGCTGATAGGTAGCAAGCGCCATTTCTAAAAAGCGAAAAATTTCTCTCAAAGCGTCCTTGCCTTCTTTCTTTATTTTTCCATATTCCTCTCTCAGTTCATCAACAGATAAAGCCATTATAAACCTTTTCTTCTTTTTTCCCCCCCTCTTCTTCTTCTTAAAACAACCAAGATAATTCAAAGCTTAGAACAATCCCCCAAAATCCCAAAGTCATCAAACAATCCAAACAGAGCACAAAGTTCTTCCCTTCACACTTTTTCTTCCTGGGGTAATATCAATTGGAAAGGGGAAAAAAAAACCCAATCTGTATTTTAAAGTCTTATTGCAATCAACTTCCAATCTCAAAATCTTCCAGGCATCTCCTCCAACAAGGTCTTAATATAAATTTCTCTTTTGTCCTCTCCCTTCCCACTTGTAACAAAAAGCTTTAAATTTTTACCTTCTATAAAATAGCAAGCTTTTCAATATCCATTTGTTAGTTCCATAGGGAAGGAGAGTAAACTTTCTCTTTCAGCACTTTCACTCGCCGCTTATAAATCTCTTCTGGAAACAAAGTATCGCTCAGAAAATCAAGATTTTCAGGATATTAAATGCATCTTATAGTCCCAGTTCAGCCAAAAAACTTTCGCTTCAAAACTTTCTCCTTCTTCCTCCAGCACAATCTTGTCCAGCTGCCGGCTTCTTTGTGGCGGCCATTACTGACCGCCGCTCCACCGCCTTGAGAAAAGGGGGTTATGCCGGTGGGGAGGGGGTCTGCGAAAACCCCAAACCCCTGTCCGGATCCCCCTATCTTCGGCTGCCTCTACTGGGCAGCCTTATCCTCCAGACCCGTCAGGATTGGAGGCACCAAGACGGCTAGCGCAACAGGGATCGTGCAAGATCGCGAAACCCCGCCGCCGCCGAAGCCTGGCAAACCGGAAGTATTTCCAGAACATTTTTATGAAAGTTTTGTCTAATTAAAAACTGGATTATATAGCTACAGTATATTGCCCTGATGTTCCTTTTGCAGATGGTAATTATTACTATGAACAAGCCTTTTATTAATAAGCATGTCTTGAAAACACAAGCGCTCTCTTTATTTGTTTCTCACATATGTTTTCTCTCATATGTTTTCTGAATATATAGAGGGAGGAAGCATGTGATGTAGAAATTTTTCTATGAATATATATTGTTATATATGAGTCCCAGGGTATCTCTGTACAACTTTTGTTGGTTGGCTATGGCATGATAGAAACATATCTCATTTTGCTTGGTATTCTAGATTGTTTGTACCATTATGGATTTTATACAGTGTCTTCAAATATTATGCTTCAACTTAATAAGTTCATTTTGACTTATGTATTTAATTTAGGATTCATTCCATATACTGAAGAAGTGGGTAAAAGAATTAAAAGAACGTGGTCCTGAAAACATTGTAATGGCTATCGTTGGAAACAAGTGTGACCTTTCTGATATTAGGTATATATTCTGATATATTTACTTTTTGCAGTTTTCCATTGCTTTTTCTACAGTATGACAAATTCAGAAATACATTTTATATTATTTTTTAAAATTAAAAATTAAACCAATGCAAATAATAACAAAAATGTTATTTATTGAAATTTATTTAATTTAAGAAATAAAGATGTCTACAGTTTCAAAATAATACTAGTAATATACTATTCCATCTTAAATATTTTTACTGTTCTAGCCTTGTCTACTTTTTTGTCCAAATTGTTTTATTTATTCACAACTCAATCTTCAAAACTGGGGTGCCTTTAACAAAACATTTGTATTAACTCACTATTGTACCCTGCCTCCCTTTAAACCAATGTTTTTCAAACTTGGTAACTTTAAGACATGTGCTAGAAGTCACATGTGCTAGAAGTCTTAAAGTGCTAGAAGTCTTAAAGCTGCCAAATTTGAAAAACGGAGCTCTATACTATTAGAATTCTGTCTTGCTGGATGTTGTCACTTAGTCCAATGGCTATATGTTGCCCATGTACTATCCTTTCCTACCATCCCTTTCACACAGCTAGAAAGGGCAACAGTTATGTTTCTGTTATTTGTCTCCAATCCATGTCAATGGCTTTCATAGTTTTCCTTGGCATTGCTGAGCTTTTCATCAAGCTCTTTCAATTACTACTCTAATAAAAACACAGAATTGCACTTCTACTACATGTAGCTTGAGTTTTCTCCTGGCAGGGGACCCAACATTAAGAGCTGCGGTGGCACAATGGTTAGAATGCAATATTGCAGGCTACTTCTGCTGACAGCCAGCTGCCTGCAATTTGGCAGATCGAATCTCACCAGGCTCAAGGTTGACTCAGCCTTCTATCTTTCCAAAATGGGTAAAATGAGGACCCAGATTGTTGGGGGTGGGGGGAAACATGCTGACTCTAAACTGCTTAGAAAGGGCTGTAAAAGCTTTGTGAAATGGTATAGAAGTCTAAGTGCTATTGCTATTGCATATACCTTCATTATTACTGCAGAGTGTCCAATTCTGTCTGTGGTACTTGGAGGTTTGCATATTCTGTCTGTCAGACTCCCATGCAAAATTGTAGTGTCCCGTTTGTTTGCCTTGGTCACAATATGCAAAAACTCTAGTCTGGATGTGGTCTCTATTCTTGATTATATAAATGACTATAAATGTTTTTTTCTTTTTTGTATTTAACTTTCTTCTGGGGGAACAACTTACTGTAAGTATCTAATCATTGAGACAGATTTGTTATTATGGAATATAAACTTTCTATTGGAACAAACTTTATTTTTGTTTTTAGCAACAAATCATCTCCTTCACTAGAACCTTTTAAATCTATTGCTCATAATAGATTATACAAAACTTCAGTGAATTTAACTGATTTTAAATGAATTATTTTCTGCAAAAGACAAAGTTAAATAGTTGATTAACATATATACTATAAAACAACCAGTCCTGATACTTATTAATTATTTAATTCATTTGTATATAGGACTCTAGGTGGTCACAACAATTCACATACACACACACACACACACACCTCAAACACTCATGCTAAAACCACTATTAAAAATGCAAATGCAAAACATAGTAAAAAGGTAAATATAATCAATAATTCAATTCATTATAACCACTGGAATGGTTCTCACCTTTCAATCAGTTACAGTACATATAGCTTTCCATACATTTTGAAAAGCGAGTAAATTTTAGGATAATTGGTGGACAATCTCTTAAATAAACCCAACAAAAAATTAAAGCAGAAAATATTTTGTGTTAAAACATAAATTATATTATCAGGATTTATTGTGTGGATCCAGGTTTTAGGAATAAACATTTCCATATTTAATAATACATTTTACCTCATTTATGAATTATAGCTCAAAATGGCAACATGAATTTCCCCTAATTTTATACTCACACCAACAAACCTCTGTTGGACTAAGAGCAAGGGGTTAGCCCAGCGTTACTGGTTGAGCTGTGTAGTAGAAAAGATTGGTTTTTCTTCTCCTAGTCCCCTATCTTAACCATAATTACTGTATGAAGTCCTTTACTTCATAGTTGATCAGGATTTGACTTATATCTTACCTTAGTCAATATATTTAGAGAAACATTTAGAAATAATAAAGGGAATTTAAAAAGTTATAACATGTTCTCAGACATTTGCTTTATAAATTAAGAGTTGCAGGCCATGCTGTTTGGTTACAAACTGTAAACAGGTGTTGGGAACAAAATCACATAGTTATAATTCTGGGTTGTTGTTTTTTTTCTTTGACAGAACCACATGATTTCCTGCCATTAGATGTTCAGGCACAGTGAAGCCCTTTGTGTATTCATAAGTCATTAACATTTTATTGCTTTAATTTTTTTTAAATTATGTCTATTAATCTAAGCCCAAAACAATAATACTGAATTCTAAGACTTTAAATAATCTTACTTTTGATGTTTGGGCAAAGGTTCCATTTCTCAAGTTTTGATTAGCTTGACTATATTTAGATTTGTAAAAAAAGAGGAAGAGTAGGAAAGACTTCTAACCAAACGTGAGAATGCAAAACCAGAAGCACCCTTCTGCAACTCTTATAAAACTACAAAATACTTCAGTGTTAATTTAACTTATAATAAACATTAACTTAGATTAATTTCAATTTAGTGTTAGGTCCACATAGGGTAGATGGTTTCTTTCATTATCTTGGTTCTCATAATAATGGAACAGGTTAAAGCACTTAAAAGATAAAAGTTCAGAAAATAATTTTAATGGGAGACTATAAAAGAGAAAGTTTATTGTAGTTTATTTTGATGGAAGAGATACTTAAAGTAGTATCAAAATGAATGTACAAAGCTAAAACTTAAAAAAAATTCCATAATTATGCATCAGGAAATATAATATTGTATAGATGGAATGATATTAGACTTGAGACATCAGTAGTGTAGCAAATGATGTTTTGCTCCAGATTAAAATAAGAAAAAATATTATTTTTGCTAAGGTACCTATTTAAATTTATAAAAATCCAACCATTTTTCTTTCTTTCTTTATTTATTGATACATACATACATATATACATACATACATATATACATACATACATATGACTGAACCAAGTACCAGTTGTATTCTTGTAGAAAATATAAAGGAAGTTGAAAAAATGTGATCTATAGATTATTTACGTGGTAGGTTGAACTTAAAAGAACTTGATAAAAATAAAAAGGAAAGTGTGAAACATAATCAAATATTAAAATTTCCAATAGTTTTTTGATTTATGTAAAACATGGAATTCTTAATTTCTCAAAATGAAATATTAAATTTTATTTAAGGGGATATCAAGATGGGTTTCATACATGGATCATTCTAGAACAGCATTTGCAGGCTTTGAAAACTTCCAATAAGGAATCTTACATATTCCTGTTTTGCAAAAGTGCATTAGCATACAACAGAAATACATTATCTGATTTCTTTAACATGAATATCTATAGAACACTGCATATGGAAAATATTTGTAAAAAATTAAAACCTGAATTAAGTTATTTCAAACCGAGTAAAGAAAAATAATTGAAAATAAAAGACTTTATTCAGTGATCAATTAATTGTATAAGTAGATTTGAATTTTTCTTTAAAATGTTCATTAAATTATTAACTGAACTCTCATTGAATTTTTTAATACATCTTAAAGAATATTATTCTGATATAAGCCATTTATGGAACAAATGCATAATAAATAAATAAATAAATAAATAGGCCCAACTGCTGGGGTGCCTAGGAGTTACAGTCACAATTTTATTTAGAAAGGTAGACAGATCCTAATGTTGTCAGAAAACACTCATGGATTTTGTGTTGTATTGCACTGTATAACAAAAGAATTTTGTTCATACAGCTTTCCATCATCTGTAGATTTGGGGAGAACAAGAAGAAATTATATTTCTCATATGAGAAACAATAAATGAATATTTACTGTGCTCAAATTATGAAAAATAATATAGTTGAACCAAACGTTCTGTTGCACAACAACTTAATTTAAACTTATAAAACTTTATTTTAGGGAGGTACCTATGAAAGATGCCAAAGAATATGCAGAATCTATAGGTGCAATTGTTGTTGAGACTAGTGCCAAAAACGCAATTAACATTGAAGAACTCTTTCAAGCAATCAGTAAGTAAACTTAGAATTTGTTTTTGCATATTTAAGCTTGTACAACTCAAAAAGTTGTGTTATTTAGGTCACAGCTTTGCTAAAGCTCTAGTTTATTTCTCACAAAAGGACAACAATGAAAGAGATAATTGTTTCACAGAGAATCATATAGATATACTTCTAGAGAGGTATTATTCAAAATATTTCACCTCATACTAATTCAGTATAAATTATTTTTCTTCTGTTATAAATTCAGGAATTAATATTTTTAAGAATATTATAGCATATATCCTTAATTCCTGAAACTTTGGAGATGGGATGGGTATTCTACCTATCTCTATTTGTTTGAACCTATTTACCTCTATAGAGCAATCATTTTAAACAATGAAGCTGGATTTGAAAATTACAAAGTCAAAACAAAAGTTCTGCTGACCATTTAAGCAGTAAAACAAGCAATAGAGTACTCAAAAGATGAGGGGCTAGGTCCCCAAACAAGCAAAGTACCTGAGCTTAAATTCAACCCATTTTTGGCAGTGGTTTCGAAGCCGAAAGCACCAGCCTGAAGATGGCGAGTGGTACCTCATCAAAACATTGCCAGGATACTCTTAATCTTACACGGGAAAAGACCCAATCATGCCAAGGCCTGCATATGTATGTATGTATGTATGTATGTATGTATGTATGTATGTATCTTGCAATTGATTAGGTTCACAATGATTCACCTTCCATATCATATAGGAAATCCTATATTGTAGCTAGGAAACCCTATTTTCAAGCATTTAGAGAAGCTGTAAGATTTTAACAATTGTATATGGTGTTGTGTTTTTTTTTGTTTTTTTGTTTGGTTTTTTGCTTTTAAACCGTTCTAGGCCAGCAGATTCCACCTTTCGAAACTCATGAAAATGGCAACAGTAGAACAATCAAACTCAGGAAGCAGACAGCTCAGACAACACGAAGATGCTGTTAAACCAGAACTGGTTTGATGCACTTGAAAATAAAACAAGATCATTTATTTATTGAACCACGGACTTCAGAAAGCCAACAACATGGTGCACTCTCTAAAAACAGTAGTATCAGTATTCTTTATTGATGGGATTAGTAGGAGAAAAATATCTTTCTAATGAATTCTGCAGAATTATGCAGACAATTCGTTTAAGCAGTAAACTGGTTGAAACAATGACTCAAATTATTTGGAATAATTTGTTTAAACCGTTGACTATTCTAAAGAAGCAATAACAATTTTTTTACAAATCGTTTTTGTATTTTCAGTATGTTTTCTCCTTATGTATAATTTTACAGAATTATAATGCACAGTATTATAATCAAATGAAGAACGTTTTATTTTACTGGATTTGGCTTCTACTATTTTTAGAATTATTTTTAAAGGTATAAATGACATACTTACACTTCTGCATCCCATGCAGATAAAATCTAGTGACAATAACAATTATAATAAATGTTAAACTGTTACTTCTGTATTGGAAAAGCAAAATCATTGAAATGCAAACACTTTAAGTTAAACAGCAGCAGTGGTTTTGGGTATACTAAATATTGCAGAATGTTAAAGGCAAACAGACATTTTATCAAAAGCCAAAAAAGACCAGGATACATTTTCTATTGAATTCATTTAAATTTGAAATAATTTAACAACAATCTGACAGTCTGAATACAAAAGTTCTATACTTGTATTTTTTCTTGTTCTTTAGTTTAATATAGTGGCCTTTAGTGCAGTTATCTGCATCTATATCTTTGATCTGTCTGTTTCTTACTTAGTAACAATACAGATGCAAGGTGGAGTCCAAGGAAGTTGAAAACAATACAACCTTTTTTTATCTGAGTCCTTTTTGTAATAGATTGAGTATTAAGCTGATATCATACCAAGCTAATACAAACAACAACAACCACCCACTGAAAGATCTCAGTACTGTCATCCCTCTCAGATACACCAGACAGGAAACAAGACTAGTTTCCAGACTGAGAAATTTCATCAACATATTGTCACACAATTTGGGGAGGACACTCTTGAGATTGGTGCGAGAGGAATCAGTGCATTCCGGTGACTTATTCAGACTGAGAAAGCTGCTTGGGTTATCAGCAAAACATCTCAAACCAACAAGGAAATAAGTCCAGTTGCCATGACTTGATTTCCCGATGATTAGATAAACTAATTCCACTTTATTGTAAGGCTACATTAATAAAATCTTGTAACTCTGAAAGTACAGTGATACCTTGGTATTCATTGTTAAATGATATGGGGAGACATGACTAGTACTAAAAATGACGAGTGCCAACAAACCACCTGACTTATCATACGACCCTTTGTTTTGGCCAGGAAGGACTTCCTATCTCTCCCTTTTCCAATACCAGTGACCTTCCCAGCATGGCCAACTTCCTGTCTGCCTTCTGCAGCTGACCTCCTCTTCCTTTTGCAGTGACCTTCCCAGTTTGGCTAACTTCCTGTCCATTCACCACAAACTGCTCCCCTTTAACGAAAGCAGTGTATCAGGTACCAACAAAGAATGAATACCAGGACAACATTTTTGTGTCAAAATGTGTTGTGTAGCAAATTTAACAAGTTTTGATGCTATAGCGCACCAAAGTATCACTGTACAAACTTCTCACCACCACGGTTAGTTCCCTGAGCCATTCAAGTGGGTTTTTCCTAAGTTTCTTTGTTAAGCACTGGGGGCTCCTGCCTTTCTTGTTGAATTGTTTCCTAAATAGCATATTTTCCCCAAGGTTATTCACACATTCCATTACAGTACTGATATATTTTATTTCATGCTTCCTTTGTTGTAAATTGAATATATGTTGAAGTTGCTACATGTGCAGTATAACTAATAAAGATTCCATCCTAAAAGTGTATAATAGTAAAAAGTGACAAATACAGAATTAGGAAATTCTATAGATTTTTTCATGTCCTTAAACTTATACAGTGAAAGACTTTTAAGAGTCAATCCTGACTTGATAGTACATTAGTTCTGTATAGATAGTACATAATTAGTTCTGCATATCTACAGGGTAGAATCATAGAAGGAATATCAATAACTATTTAGTCTGACTACCTGCTTGAAACAGCATATTTATATTGCTTGTTATTACAGAATTGCATGTTTAGATGTTATTTTGTAGAAGTTGTGGAGGCACAAAATATTTCTAAGTAGAAATAAGAGAGGACACTAATTTTTGCCATCTGTAGGATGCTCATGTTGAATCATATTTTTCAACATAATATGTTTCAGGGCGGCTATAGAAAAAAGGTCCTTGAAAACTCCTTTTGAACGAATAGAATAGAATAGATGTTCTGTGAAGAAGCTTTGATGCTCATTCTTCTATTATACAATACAGACCTTTAGCTAAATCCCTATTATTTTGACAGTAAAAACAGTCAAATTAGAATAATTACCTAATATAGCCTAAAAAAAAGTTGTGATTATCTTTTTTTGAGAATAATTAGTGAATAACTTTTGGGGTTGAAATTTTCTGCCAAAATTTATATTCAATTTTGCTAAGAAGATTGGCATAAGAATAAACAGTATAATTTTTAGTGGAAGAGTATTAGAAAAATAGTATATTAAATCTTTTAGGGGTTCTTTGCAAAGGTTCGGCCAAATATTTACTTCTGTACACAGCACAGTGACTTATAAGAAAAGAAAGTAAATATTTGAGAATCAAGTTCATACATAAAAGTTAAAATGGAAAGAAAACAAAGCCTAGTATCATTATTTTACAGTGGCAACTTAAGGAGCTGTGCAATTCAATGAATAAATAACAAAAAATGAGGCAATATTATGTCTATTTATGTAATAGTAGACCCAATCAATGCCATGTGATATTTTCCCAAGTATATATTCATTCAATTGCAGAGCTTCTGAAATTGCCATTGTAAAATATTGGTGGAAAGCTTTGTTTTCTTTCCATTTTAACTTTTATGTATGAAGTTGGCAGGTTATATTAATTTGATTTCTAGTTTTGTGTTTAGTATTGTAGTTAAGGTGAAGCAAAACAAATCCTGCTGTAAAAATAAATCCAAATCTTCTTAGTTGAGTGGGAAATGAACATTTTTCGTATCGCTCTTAACTGGGAGAAAAATTCTTATCACAAAACAATCCTTAACTTTAGGTTACAGCTGGATTTGCCTAACATGCTAGCCCAAAATATGTTGTGGAAATGTGATTTATTTATAATTGAAAATATGACATGAACTAAGGAAATGGGTTTAGTAAATTATGTTTCAGCTAATCACGAGGATTGTGTGAGCAAAGCAAGATAAAGAGGCATGGGACCACAAACAAATATTTTTCTACCAACAATTTCTGAGCCCCCCCCCCCCATTAGATTCAAAAGAAAGTTCTTGACAATGAAAACCCTCTGAACATATCAGAATTGGAGTAATATGTGTAGGGTGAATCCCTACTATTCAGGTTCAATGCTTGGGATTGACTTTATGGTGTTCCACTGAAAAGTTTTCTGTAAAAGAATTTTCTTGAAATAATTCTTACCTCCAAAACAATAATGAAGGTAGAGAAAATAAGACCCTTATGTGTGTCTCCTGTAACCTACCCCTTCAGATTCCAAAAAGATTCATAAAGGGTCTTTTTGGAGTGAGAAGAATTGGTAAAATGAAATAAAAGTTGCACTTCCAGTAGGTTTGATTCCTACTTTCTCTAAAAATAAAATAGCATACCTGCTTGTGTGCTAGATAGTATAAGATGGCATGAAAATTTATCTTTAAAGAAATGGCAGAATTATGTTACTCAAGCAAGAGAATCAAATTATTTTTTTCTGTTAAGTATTCACAGATTATTTTTATTCTTATCCAAGTCAACACTATTTAATTAGAGTCTTTCATTGTATGGTATAGCCGATTGTAGTAATATTTCAGTGCACAGGGCACTTTGCTTATCTATATACTCTATACAGTACACATTTTTCTTTTAAAAAATCAGATTTGTTTAAACCTAAACAAAAATAATGCATTGTACTCTTTGAATTGTTTATATCAAATGTTGATTGAATGGGCTGGACCCATTAATGTATGGAATGTTATAATCTATTAATATTGTTTGCTCTATCTATTAATATTATTTGCTCCATATAATAATTGTACAATTGCCAACAAGATTTGAGCTTAAAACAATGTTTTAATTTACCTCTAGTAAGCAATACTAATAAATGTTTGTAATTTCTGTGATGCGGTTTTTCATAGTTGACAGAAATTAAGTGTAACTGAAGAGCAGTTCTTGCAAGATTCTTCATGAATAAAATAACCAATTCATTATAATATATTAGACACTACTTGAATAAGCTAAGATAATTGACTTCACTACCATGTTTCTCCCACGTGTGCATGCACAGCGGTGCGCAGGGTCATGGGCACATTTCATTATGGGTGCAGGCACGTGTTCGCGCGCATGCAAGCACACACTTTTGGCACGCAACAACGGTAAAGTTAGCCATCACTGTCTTAGATGATCTTGAAAAATCTGAAAGTGTAGTTGGGTTCTAGGTCATATGCTGCCTGGATTGTGTTGTCAGCTTTGAAATAATTTTCCTGTTCCCCAAGAGACCATCTCTAAATCTGGCTGCATTAGACAACATTTTTTCAACTTTCCTTATTTTGCTGAAGTTCTGGAGAAGATAGTGATATTTCAATTAGAGAGTCATAATGAAACAGATAATCTGGATCTCTTTCAATCAATTATTATCAAATGGCATTGGTTACCGTCAGGTTGATTATTTTTGTTAGGATTGGATGGTACAGACAGGATATCCCTCTTATCCTGTTAGACATCTTTGATGCGATCAAGCGCAGAATCTTTGTAGACTACAGAATTTGAAGACCGGGAGGCAGTGGGTTTTAATAGTTCTATCCTTACAATCAGTCGCAGAGAAGGAATAATTGAACCCATGATTGCACTAATAAGTATTACAGGGCTTGACCCTCTGTTCTATTTAACATCTGCGTATTTCCATCCCAAACCAGGCAAGAGGTGCCATGTAAATCTTGATCTGGAGTCTTGGTCCTCAATAACACAAAAGAAGCTCAGATCGAATCCCAGCAAATTGAGCTGTTCTTTTTTTTAAAAAGTCATAATGAAACAGATAATTAATCTTGATCTAATCATTATGCTACAAAGAGGTAATACTTTTTCTGAAGGAGCTAGTCCACAATTGGATGGTCCTGTTGCACTTTACAACTGCTAAAACAACAGATGGAGATTATGGCCAGGACAGAATTTAGAGACTCTAACA